AATTTTCATATTAGGAGAAACAGCACCTAGGAGGGAGAGGGCGTATATGGAAAGTCTGTACTTTCTGCACAATTTCTCTGTGAACCTAAAATTGCTCTAAAAAAGAACAGATACACTTGAACAAGGGAGCTCTGGTGGACTAGTGGCAAGAAGCTGTGCTGCAATCCCAAAGACATGCGGGTTCGAGGCCACCAGCTTCTCTGCGGGAGGAGGATGGCAATCTCCTCCCCCGCAATTAACTGCCTCTGAAAACTTACCAGAGGGTCAGGTATGGGTCAGTTTTTACTCTACGGTAAAATCTGGATCTCCTTCTGAAAATAAGCTCACCACAAAAATTTTAAAAAAGAAAAAGCCCACCGCCATTGAGTCCATCTGACTCATACAATCACAGCCAGGAAGTGAAGAGGGCCAGTGGAGTCAAACTACTAGGCTTTCAATTGGCAGTTCAACATGCAACACACTGTGCCCCCAGACACCATGGAAGGAATGAAGAGCAAGAGCATATTCACTTAGAATTGAGGATGAATAGAGACACATGAGAAGCAAACATTTAGATCTTTAATGGAACAGTTAGAACTAACAAGAACGCCTTAATTCCTGGTGTACCTACAAAGTCTTCAACAATCTAGCAGGTAAGTAACTTTCCTGCCAGCTAGAAATTACACAGCCCAGGATCTCTCAGAACGTACGTACAGCTGCTCCGTCACCAGGGAGCCAACATTTGATCTGTTCTCTCCCAAATAGGTCTTGAAAAATTCAAAAGGAAAAACAAGGCAAGAGGGCTTTAAGCAACTTCTCTGCAGGTGACTGCGAACCCTGCAGCCAAAGCATAGACTGAGTCTGGGGAGAACTAAATCTCAAAAGTAAGGGCAGGATCTTAGGGACTGCAGAAAGGAGGGGGGGGGACTGCTCCTTTTTCTTCTTGGTTGTCATGACCCACTGAGGAAATACTATAGCTGAAGCACCTGTCTGGAGAGGGAAGGGGCGCTGAACACATCCTTGGTGAATATTTAAGGTTTGTTGGACTCTATGTGCCGCGCTGGAGCCCCAGTGGTGCAAAGGCTAAGTGCTCAGCTTCTAACCTAACCAGATGCATCCAACCACATTGTAGCAGAATGGCCTGCTCACCTGCTCTATTTAAAACAAAAACTAAATTTTTATTTTATATTTATTTGCTTACAAAATTCATATACATTGTGTTTCACACACACTATTCTTGATTCACATTGTGTTTCATACAGTCATGTCCATTCATTATATTTTATAAAATTAATCAGCCTTGAACTATGCCCACCATTGTCCTGTCTTTCCAGATCCCCACCGGATTTTTCTCATTTCCTTTACCCATCCCTCCTTCCACCCATCAAATTGTGTGACTCCATGACTTTCTCCCTGATCGCCCTCACCCTTCTGCTCCTACCCTCCCACCTTGGAACCTAATAAACGTTTTACTTGTTGACTTTCTATTCTATGATAATGGTCTTATACAGGATTTGTCCTTATGGGACTGAGTTAGTTCACTCAGCATAATGCTCTCCACTTCCTCCCAAGTTAGAAAATTATTTTCAAAATCATTGCTCCTGAGTGCTGCATAGTACTCCATCATGTGAATGGCACCACAATTTCTCAACCCATTTGATTGTGCTTGGACACTCGGGCTGTTTCCATTTGTTTGCAATGGTGAATAATGCTACAGTCAATATTGGTGTACAAATCTCCATTTGTGTCTCAGTTCTAATTTCCTCGGTGTATATTCCAAGCAGTGGAATAGCTGGGTAATTTAGGATTTCTATGTCTAGCGTTTTAAGGAAATGCCAAATTGCCTTCCAGAGTGGTTGTGTCATTTTACAATCCCACCAGTTGCATATGAGAGTTCCTATCTCTCCACATCCTCTCCAACATTTCTTGCTTGCTGTCTGTTGATCTGCTCTTGTAAAGATTACACCCACTGCTATACAGTCAATTCTAACTCATGAGGCCCTATCTGGCAGCTACAGAGTCAGTACTCACACATAGCTGATTCTCCATTGGGTTTCCAAGGCTGTAAATCACACAGAAGTATATTGCCCATCTCTTTCCCAGGGATCCGCTGGAAGATTTGAACTGCCAGAGAGGCAAGGCCTTTAGGGAAGCCTTGAAACTCCCTAGGACAGAGTAGAACTGCCCCCCAGGAGTTTTCTGAGGCTATGAATCTTTATGGGAGCAGACTAGTTAATATTCCCTCCACAGGAAGGTTCAAACCACAAGCCTTTCGATTCTCATCCCACTTCTTAACCCACTCTGCGGTCAAGACTCCTTTGGTTAAGGTTCCATCCTAAAAACCATGTAGGGCAGTTCTGCTTTGTCACATATAAGTCGGGACTCAACGGTACACAACAACAACATGCTTCAGAAAAGCAACTCATCCAGGTGGCTAGCTCCTTTCTAAAACCCAGGAGACAAGGAAGGTGAAGATTTTATAAAAAAATGTCCTAAGTCCACCAAGGTTCAGTTAATGATGGCGGGCTAAGTTAGGAAAGAATGGCAATAATGGTTACACAAGCTGATAGATGTGTTCAATGTCACTGAATTTCACATGTGAAAATTATTAAGTTAGCTATTGTTGTGTTGTACATATTTTTGCCACAAAACCAAATGAAACACAGGCCATGAGCACAAAGGGGAAAAGAAGAAAGAAAAAAGAAAAAAAAAGAGGACTCAGAGTCTAACATCGAAAATAACCAGGTTGGAGTAACTGAACAATTACTGTTCTACAATGTCACCTCAACTAAAAAAAAAAAAAAAACAAAAAACCACAAACCCACAACTTTGAAAATTAAGTTCTTTTTCTTCAGTAATTAATTTGAAAGTAAAGCTTATCTAGCCTTATAATAAGTTATTCAACTGTACGGGTCATAGGAAATTAGGGATAGCATTGTAAAGAATGGGAATTCCAGAAAACATAATTGTGTCCATGCAGAACCTGTAAATAACCCAAGAAGTGATTGTTCAAACAAAACAAAGGGTACTGCATGGTTTGAAATCAACAAAGTTATGCATCAAGGTTTTAACCTTGTACCACAATTTAGATGCTGAGCAAATTATCTGGGAGGCTGAACTCTATGAAGAACTGATGCATTAGGATTAGAGGAAGATTCATTAACAACCTGGAATTCACAAATGTCACAACCTTACCTTTGCTTATGAAAAGAAAAAATGACCAGAAGCACTTACTGGTGGAGATCAAAGAGTTTAGTATGGATTACTCCTTAACCTAAAGAAAACAAAAATTCTCACAGTTGGACCAGGAAGCAGCAGCATGATAAATGGAGAATAGATTGAAGTTGTCTAAAGATTTCCTTTTCCTTGGATACACTATGAATTCTCATAGAAGCAGCAGCCAAGAAATCAAACAACATACTGCTTTGGGTGTGTCCACTGAAAAAACCTTCTTTAAAGTGTTAAAAGTAAAAATGTCATTTTGGCAACTAAGGTGTGCCTGGCCCAATCATGGGATTTTCAACCACACACGCTATTGGTGCCACTGAATCAACTCCTACTTATATAACAGAACAAAGTCTTGCCTGATCCAGCACCATCCTTTCAATCTCCACTATGCTTAAACCAATTAATTGCTGTCGTCATTGTGTCAATCTATCTTGTTGAGAGTCTTCCTCTCTTTTACTGATCCTCCACTTTTCTCAGCCTGATATCCTTTTCCAAGGACCAGTCCTCTTGATAATATGCCCAAAGGATGTGAGACAAAATCTCACCATACTTGTCTCTGAGGACCAAATTTGGCTACATTTTTTTCCAAGATTTGTTTATTTTTTGGCACCCCATAGTCCATTCAATACTCTTTAATCTTTTTTATTTGTTGTCTAAAATACTATGACTTGGGTCATGCACACCCTAGCCTTTAAACTGATATCCTTGCTCTTCAACACTTCAAAGAGGTCCTTGACTGGAGATTTGCCCAGTGCAATATGTTCAATCATCCACGTTCATGAAAATATGGCAAATCTTTATCTCAAAAATCTTTAGATATGTTAAGGGAGCTCTGGTGGCCTAGTGGCAAGATGCTGCACTGCAATACCAGAGGTACGCAGTTCAAATCCACCAGATGCTCTGCTGGAGAAGGAGGGAGCAATCTCCTTCTGTACCAGTCAGATCTGATTTGACGGTACACGTAAAAAATAATACAATAAAAATTTTAAAAAAATCTTTAGACATGTTATCAGGAGGAACCAGTCCCTGCTTGGTGATAATACAGAGGTAATAAAGGAAATCCTCAATGAAGTGGGTCAGCACAGTGGTTGCAACAAAGGATGAGGATGACACAAGATTAACAACTACTTCATTCCCATATATATGAGATCACTATGACATGGAGTCAATTCAGCTGCATCAAATAGTATCATCATCAGATCTACATATAGATTTGCTTCTGTGTCCATAACCTTATTTGTCTTTTTTGTATATCAATATCCCTTAGAAAAATGGGCATTCTTTATAATATTGACACTTTAACAATTTGTGTGATAAATCTACCAACTCATGTGTTTCTTCTTTATTGTCTTACTAAAGTTTCATTAGCTTTTCATACACACACACAAGCAGTTTATTGTATAGGGAGAGGTATAAGAATATTCTCATTCTCAAAATAAATTTATTGTACAGATTTTTCAGTCCATTTCCCCACAATTTTAGGACACAGGAAATGACAACTTGCATAATCCTTACAAGAAAACAATGTATTTGAATTTTGTAAATAAACTAGTATAATAATTTTTAAAAACAAACAAAAAAAAACACCCTACGTTTAGTATATTACAACCTACAGTTATAAGGTAACACTGATATTTTGGAGTTCACTCATAAATTAAAATAATCACTTCTTGGGTCTATTATCAAGAAGTCAAAGACCACACACAACACAATTCCAAGCCATCTTTAGCCAACATTTCCATACCAAAGAGTCATATCTTTCTCATTACATCAACAGTGTGTGCATCTTCGAATCAGAGCTCTGTTCTTGTGTGTGTCTCTGTGTACTTAGGTGCCAGTTCTTTAATTAGATTCACGTAGTCTGATTTTTCTGCACAAGCCCTGCACTCTTCTCCCCAGCTATACAGTATCTGCTTCAGCTCTGCTACTCTCATCTTCGACAGGTCCACTGATGCCAAGTCCAATTTCTTTTCTAAACAACAAAAGAAAACATGCACGTTTATATATGGACACAACTCAACAAGTAGGAAACATTTACTAAGGCAAGTCACATAACTTCTGTTGGTACTGATAACTCTATGATCCCAATCAGGAAACAGGTTTCATTTCTATGGAACTCAAGACACACTTTTATTAAAAAGAAAAATGTGTTATGTACAAAACTTATTGAGAGAATTAGCATTCTACCGGAGGTTTTTCTCTGATAATTACCATGGACCTATGTATTTTTGCAACATGTACAATCGTTTTATAAAGATGGGTCCTAAAGACTAGCATCCCTAAAATGAGTAATTATTCTTCAAGGGAAAAAGAAGGCAACCGATAAAGACCTCTGAGTTGAGGATGACCTTGTGTGTGGCCAACTAAAAGCTATATAGATTGTAACTAACTACAATGTTAAAATTAACATTTTGGATGAGAAAAATATGCCTTTACTAAAATAAGCCTTAAATAAAAGTTAAAAAAACTCAGCGAGCTCTGGTGGCCTAGTGGCAAGAAGCTGCACTGCAATCCCAGAGGTGCGTGGTTCAAATCCACCGGATACTCTGCTGAAGAAGGAGGGGCAATCTCCTGTACCAGTCAGGTCGGATTTGATGGTACACACACACTAAAATTAAAAATAATAATAATAATAAAATTTTTTAAAAATAAATAAAAGTTAAAAAAACTCAAATATGTAGGTAAAATAAAACTCAAATATGTAGGTAAAATTAGGACAACTTTCAATGGTTTTTAATTATCCTGAATTTCTGTTTAAACTAACTTAATTCTTCTCCCTGTTACTGGGGTTAAGAATTTAGCAGAGCATTCATTTCAAGTCTTCGTAGCTCACTTAAAGGAAGCTCTGGTGTATTAGTGGTAAAGAGTTGCACTACCAACCCAAAGCTCACAGTATAACTCCACAGTCTGCTTCACAAGAGAAGGATAAGCAATATTCTTCTGATTTACTGCCTTTGAAAACTCACTAGAGGGTAGGCTATGAGTCTACAAACTTGACGGTACAAAACAACATACCCTGAAGGAAATCTGGTAGTGCTATGGTTAAAGCCATGAGCCACTAACCAAAAAGTTGGTTGATTAAACCCACCAACCAATCTGTAGGAAAAAATTGGGCCATCTCCTTCCATAAAGATTTATAGCATTTGGAAACCTTAAGGGGTGTTTCTCCTCTTCCAATTGGGTCACTGTGAGTAAAAATCTACTCGAAGGCAGTGGGTTTGAGTTTGGGTTCATGGTGCACTGTGGCATCTGAAACCTTGAAAATTGTAGTACATACTTCCATGAATATAGATGATGGTAAAGGGAAGGTTGAACCTCCAGATAATGAGAGATAACAGCTAGAAAAGCCAGGGGGTGGGCTATGATGTTAGAAACCTTGAAAATTGCCTTTTCTATCCATTGTGTTCTATCCATTGTGGACATGTTGTAAGGAGGGACGACCGGTCCTTAGAGAAGGACATCATGCTTGGGAGGGTGGAAGGACAGCACAGGAGGGGAAAGCCCTCTGTGAGGTGGATTGATTCAGTGACTGGGGTAATCAGTATGGGAGTGTCAGAGACAGTGTGAATGGCACAGGACAGAGCAGAGTTTAGGGCTGTTGTACATAGGGGTCGCTATGAGTCACAAGCGACTCGATGGCACATAACAACAACAACATCCATTGTGTTAGCTCTTACTGGGGGCATGGTCTCCAGCATATCATTAAGAGCTCCAGCACCAATATAACAGAGTGCTTTCCACACTGTGAAAAACGGTAGTGGAGAGAGAGTGAAGAGACTGTGGCAAGGTGTAACCAGAGGAACCCTGGAGATATAGCACAATGAAAAGCTTTGTTTGTGGAATAAGTATATGTAAAGTTGACTTGTAATTGCTCTGAGATAAAGTTTGCTGGATGATTGAGGAAACTAGACTGAACCTAGACATTCATTTGTTGACTGAGAAGCTGTCTGACCTAATTGTGGCCTTGTGTCTCGCTATTAATCTGGTTTCAGTCTGCTGAACTAAATGTGGACCTGCATTGTGTAATATTCTTTGCATCCTCCACTCCCCAAGCTATTTCCCTAATAAACCTCTCAACTGTGAGTAAAATCTGTAAGTAAATTACAATGAACAGTGGACCAAATAATTGATAGGAATAGATGCAGGAGCATGTGGAGTGTCATGTATGACCATGTACTTATTTGTTTGGTACTATAAGTGTTACTGATGGGGATGATTCTCCTTAATGAAGCAGGTAGAAGTCAGACTTGGTCTTCATGTTACCACTGCTCCATATACATGCACCCACTTTCCTAATTCTTTAATGTCAATCAACTTGGCTCCTAAAAGTCTTTTCTGCAAACTCTTATGCCCCTAGCAAGATTTCTCTGTTCTTATTTCTAAGTTAGCTGCAGAAATTTCAAGAATTCTGCTATTTCTCTGCTGATAAAGTGAAAATAGAAACAAAAAAATGAAGTTTGTTAACAATAAACTCATGATTGTTATTTCCCTATCAGAAACCATAATGTTCTTCTTTGTACAGGGAGCTACTACAATTTCTACACATTTTGCTGGAATGTGGATACAACGTTTAAAGGTACTGATTAAGCAATAATAACAGCTCAACTCACATTCTAAGGGTGCTTTTCTGTTTTCTCTATATAGAGTAAAACTGAGGTTTAGAAATCTCTTAAAATTTTTACATCATTATTAAGTGCCTTATCAAAAACTCCCAATAAATGCTGGACTGAATTTAAAAGCTGTGATTTTCTTTTTATCTTTTTGTTTGTTTCTTGGGTGTCAGCTACACCTTCTTCTTCAGGGAACTTTTCCATTTTCATAGTAACCCCATCCTTCTAAGAAACAAACAGAAACCTTCTTGCAGATCAAAAATGAAAATAGCACCTTTCTAATATAAAGTATCATCCAACTCTACATTTATCTTGTCTGTTAATTTCAACTTGAAAGAAGACCTTTAAAAGTAGTAGCTTTTGTAGCCCTATTCATTAACATCACACAGCTCAAAGGCTGAACTTTCTTGCCAACAATAAACTGAGGAGAATTTACAGCTCTAAATCTATTCTCATATTTCTTGCAAATGTCTTTCATGTCCTTGCATTTTTTTTGTTGGTTTTTTGTTTTGTTTTGTTTTTGCGGTGGAACTTGACATTTGACATTAATTTTGAAAGAGAGAAACCTCTGTGATATCCTCAAACACCAAAATAATGTGGACACAAACCTTATAACTAGTTCATGGCTCCCAAGAGGCCTCTAGTGGCCAAAAGTACTCATGTACTCTCACTTTCTGTTTAGTCCACTAGAGGATCTGGCACAGCCCACCCACAGCTGACCCTGCTGTGAGTTTTCAGACGCACTCTAGTTGCACAGGAGAAGATGATCCATCTTTCTCCAGCAGAACTGCTGGCCACCAGAACTCTTAACTTGTACTTAGTAGGAGTTATTAAAAATAAATGTTTTTTTAAAAACCAGCGCAGGTTTGTTTCTTTGGTGAATAGTATTTATGAGGACTCAGGGATTTCTGCCTCTTCGTTGCTTCAAAGCTAATAAAAAGGAAGGCCTACTCTATAATCACCATCCTGAAAGTTCGGCCCTGCCCTTGGCAAGTTGAGAAATAGGTCATCTCTGGTAATTTCCATCTTTAAACCTATTTAAAGTGAGTTGTGAAGTTATGTGTGGTAGGTATATGATATAGCTATGCTAGAAAATAATTCAGAGCTGGGTGCTAATTACTTGAGATGTTTATAGTATTGTTCTAGGGATGTAACAGAAAACCACAGTTTAAGCAAAGGGAATGCAAGGGGAGCAGGAGTGGCATCCACTTCTAAAATAGCTTGCCCCCAGAAACCCTTATGAACCTGGAGAAAGGATGAAAGTTATACAAGTGTCCAGGTCTTCGGTTCACAGGGTCACTATGCCTACAACTCGACAGCACTTACCAACAACAGTGGCTCTTCCAGAATTAAGGACAGATCAGGGAAGAATTGCCCAGTCTTCTGTCATATCTACTCGATCTACTCCAAATTAGAGTGGCTAAGTTACAAATATTCAGTATTAGATCTACAGAAAATTTATAAGGCCAAGGATACTGTTTTAAATAAAAAATTTCCTTTCCTTCCTTGATGTTTATTTTAGGCCCTCACAAAGCTATTTCATAAGACAAAAGCTGGCTTGAACTAATAACCTATTTCCCTAACATTTGAAGGGAGTAGAACAATAGGAGTGCCTAGGAAGGCAGACATAATCGTATTTGCATCTTTGAACAGATGTAATTTTTGTTGTTGCTGTTATTAGCCACCCTGGAGTTAATTCATCATGAACGACCCCACGTGTGCAGAGCAGAACTTTTGCATAGGATTTTCAAGGGTGTGGTTGTTCTGAAGCAGATCACCAGGCATGGGTCTCTTGGTGGTTTGGAACTACCTACTTTCTGGCTAGTAGTCAAGCACTTAGCTCTTTATGCCACCCAAGGACTCTTTTCCAAGACCTAAAAACCCAAGCTAAATATTCCTTTTATATTAAAAACAAAATTTGCATATGTGGCAAATGTTGCCTTTGTTTTTTAAATTTTGCTACTTTTACCTAATTCTGATTACAGGCTGTCATGGATTGAATTGTCTTTCTTCCAAAAAAAAAAAAAGGTTGTGTATGAAATGATAGCTGCATAATGACCCCTTAATATCTGAGGGATCTCTGATGGTGAGCTGACAACTTAAAAACAGGCAGTTCTAATACATCAGCGACTCCGGGGGAGGAAGATGAACAGTCTCATCCCATGTGATTTACTGCCTCTGAAAACCTGCTGGAGAGTCAGCTGTGGGTTGGTTCTGACTCAAAGATATTCATAACAAGAAGAAGATCTGATAAGCCAGCGCAAAGAAGAAAGAACTTTAGTGCCACTAAGAAAGAAGTGCCAGAAGTGGAGCAAATCCTCTGGATCCAGTTTACCTGCTGGACCCGGTTCCCTCCCTGGGCATCTCCTAAAACACAGAAGGCTTTCCCCTATACAGCACCCAGAATTTGAACTTCTGGCCCTTAAGAGAATAAACTTCTGTTTGTTAAAGTCATTGACTTGAGGTATCTCTATTATACTAGCCCTAGTCCATATGGAGTTGCACTGCTAACCTAAGGGCCCAGGCTTTCTCACAGTTCAAATCCACCAACGGGAGAAAGTTTGGCAGTTTCCTCCCGTGTGCTTTACAGACTCAGAAACCTGCTAGAGGAACAGCTATGGATCAATTCCAACTCAACGGCAATGAGTTTAAGTTTGGGAAGTAACTACAACAAGTGCTATTTCTTCTCTCAAAGAAGTTCAAATGGCATTAGGCACCATTCTTCAGCCCGGCATCCTCCTGGTTAGGGAGTCCTCTTGACTCATCTGAAAACATGAGCATCTATTTTGAGATCTGTCAATACACTGGACATATGAGGGGAAACCAGGACTCCACTATACCATATTTCAGCTCACAGATCTGACTGTCTATCTTCTTCAGCTTCTCACAAATCTTCACCGCAGGCATGTGTACACTCATCGGGCGAGTGACTTCACTGAGGATCTTTGTGGCTGCATCATTTGTTGCTCCTAGATAATAGCACTGAAGGAGAAATAAGACTAGAATGTCAGGGAAAGGAAAATAATAGAGAACGTAGAAGTAAGGACAAGGTTAACCCAGATTTCATGCTCCAGTTGTTAAATTTTAACTCCTTGACTAAGACAACAGGAAACAGGTGACTCAATTCCTGTGATCCCCTTAATGAGAAGTGACTCTCCAGTTCACACGATGCTCAAAGGAAGAACACTGTGTTTTCTCCATGCCAGCATAGTGTTAAGTGCTTTAAAGGTATTAATTTATTTCGTTCTCACCACAGTCCTGTGAAGTGTGTGCTATTATTATCCCCACTTTACACCCAAGCCAATTGGAATTTGCCCAACTTGCAAGTAGAAGAGACAGAATTTTAAAATCTATCATTTGGTTCTAAAGTCTCTGGCTTTTTCCATCATGCTTGCCTTTCCATCTACCTGACTTACAAATTTTACATTGACAAATGCAAAAAACAGTAACAAGAAATTATGAGAGTTTACCAATACATCAATAATATGTAGGCTGTAATGGAAATTCAACCTGATGATTCAGGCAAAATGTGATGTGCGTTGTTTGGTATTTTGAAACAAACAACGTGTGTGCATGCACTTCCTCAATAAAGTGGAAGCACCTGATGTGCAAATAATGATATAATGACTTTGTTGTTGTTTTAGGTACTGGTTTTGATAGACTTGACTAATTGTCTAGGTAAGAGATGGAAAGTCAACTACTCTTTAGAATAGTCAATTATCATTAGAAATTCAGTTTTTTTCATTTGATTTAAGAAAACAGAACTAGGTGCCTATGATTTATTCAAAGAACAAAGGGAAATTGCATGTATTCTGGATGAAATAAATGTACTGCATTTCCCTGAAAGATCGATTTCTGTTTACAGTCTATGAGGAACTCGCCTGAGGCAAGCATGTAAGCAGGAGAATGTAAGTCTAAATGAAAAATGGAACTACTGATGTTTTCATCAAGCAAGAGGGAAAAAAACAAAGATAAAAATTGATCATACCAGCCGGTTTTCTTTTCCTTTGACATCCAAGCAAAAGTTGATCAATTCTTTTTCTATGATGTCCAGAGAAAAGGCAACTCCTTTGGCTATCAAAGCATTGTAGAATCGGTTCAAGAATTCTTTACACACTAGAAGGAACAAAGAAATTATGTATGTATGCACAACATAACCATATCTATGTGTATACCCCACACAGAAACTTAAAAGTTAATATGATTTAATAATGCATCATGATGTTATTATTGTTATCTTTTTAGCTGCTATCATGCTGGCCCGGAACAGCTGCTTAATGCTGAACATATCATTGTTTTTATTGGCTGTCAAACACAAGTAAATCACTACATCTTTCTTCATACTCTATCTTATTCTGGAAGTGCCACTGAAATCCGTTTAGTATCCTATTGTTAGGTGCTGTTGACTTAATAACAACTTATAGTGATCCTACGAACAACAAATCAGATCCTTGCCCTATCCTGTGCCATTCTCGTAATTTCTGCCATGCTCAAGTCCATTGTTGCAGTCACCATGCTGACCTATCTTGTTGAGGGTCTGACCTTCTTTCTCTGACCCTCTACCTTTTCCAGCATGATGCCTTTTTTCAAGGACTAGCCCCTCCTGGCAACATGTCCAAAGTACATATGATGTGCTTCCAAGGAGCACACTGGTTGCACTTTCTCTAAAACAGACTTCTTTGTTCTTTTGGCTGTCCATGTTCAAGACTCTTAACCAACACCACAATTCAAAGACATTGATTCTTCTTTAGTCTTCCTTATTCACCACTCATTATCACTTTGCCATATTGTGGAGGCTTGCAAGTTGCTGTAATGCTGAAGCTGTACTACTGGTGTTTTAAATACCAGAAGAATCTCCTGCGGCAGGCAAGTTATGGCACAGCTTCTAGACTAAGATAAACTCAGAAGCATAACTGTCATCTACTTCTGATATAATATGTCCTTGAAAGTTTTATGAGTTATATAGGAACATTTCAGCATCTAGCTACATGTAAGGGAGCGCTGGTGGCTTAGTGGTAAGGAATTGTGCTGTCAGTGCAAAGTACACAATTTGAATCCACCACCTGCTCTGCAGAAAAAAAGACCTCCTCCTATGCAATTAATCACTTCTGGGAACCTGCCGGAGGGTCAGCTATAAATCAGTTCCAACTTGACTGTACACAACAACAGCCACATGCAAGTCTCCAACCAGCAAATGAGTGGTGCCAAGTATTCAGAGTCTCTTCTAACATCAATCTTGGTCTTTTCTCCTTCCTCTGTCTTTTTAATGACATTTTGCCTTGTTTTTGGATAATATTCTTGATATTGTCCCACAGATCATCTGGTCTTTTCTCATTAGTATTCAAGGCCTCAAACCTATTCCTGAGCTAGTCTTTAAATTCAGGAGGGTTAAACTCAAGGTTAAACTTTGGTTCTTTGAGATTTCCTTTTATTTTCTTTAGCTTCAGTTTGAACTTGCTTATGAGTAGTTAATGGTCTGTTTCACAACTGCCAGATGCGCAGGCTGAGATTTGAAGAGGCTGTGGCGCAAAGGAAATTGTAACCAATGTTAGATGGATCTTAGCTGAAAGCAGAGAGTTCCAGAGGAATATTTATCTATGTTTCATTGACTATGTAAAGGCATTTGACTGTGAGAATCACAACAAATGGCAGCTAACCTTGAGAAGAATAGGAATCTCAGAACACTTGATGTGCTCATGAAAACCTGCACTTAGAGTAGGAGGGAGTCGTCAGAACAGAGCAAGGAAACACGGCATGGTTCAGGATCAGGAAAGGTGCATACTAGGGATGCATCCTATCTCCATAGCATGTCAATTTATATGTGGAACAGATCATCTGGGAGGCTAGAAGACTGTGGCATCAGGATTGGAGGAATACTCATCAACAACCAGAGATATGTAGATGACACAACCTTGTTTTCTGAAACTAAGGAGGACATGAGGCATTTGCTGCAGAAGGTCAAAGACTGAAGCCTTTAATATGGATTGAAGCTCAATATCAAAAAATTCTCAACATCAAGATTCTCACAGATTCTCACCACTAGGCCAATTGGCAGCATCATGACAAATAGAGAAAGATTGAGATTGTTAACAGTTTCAGCTTGCTTGGCTCCACAATCAACACTCTGGGTACCAGCAGCAAGAAATCAAAAGATGAATTGTGTTGGGAAAATATGCTGTCAGGGACATCTCCAGAGCACTGAAAAGCAACAAAGTCAGTCAAGAGACTAAGGCTCACCTGAGCCAAGCAATGATCTTCACAATGACTTACTATGCATCAGAGAGCTGGACAATGACTAAGGATGATGGAAGAACAATTAACATGTTTGAATGATTGTGCTGGAGAACAGTTTGGATATACCAATGGACTGCTAAGGGAACAAATAGGTCTGTCCTGGAGAGTGTGAAACCAGGCTACTCCTCAGAGGCAAGAATTTTAAAGCTCCATGTCACTTACTTTGTGTACTTTGCCAGGAGGAAACAGTCCTTGGAGAGGGACATCATGATTAGAAAGGTGGAGGGACAGCACAAGAGAGGAAGACCTTGGAGGAGATGGATTGATTCAGTGACAGGGATAGTGGGGGTAGGTGTTTCACAGACAATGAAATTGGCTCAGGATAGGGCAGAGTTCAGAGCTGTTGTGCACAGGGTTGCTATGAGTTGCAAGTGATTCGACGGTATATAACAACGTGTTTCATGCATAATTAACCCAAATATAATATTGAGTGAAAAAAAGTTACAAATAAACATGTACAAGATGCACTTAACATATTTTTTTAATCACAAAACAAGTTTATAGATTACTATGGCTTTCTATTAAAGTTTTTACAAAACAGAGGAGAACCACACATGAACTTAAGAATACAGGGGTCTGGGAGAGAAAAGGGGTCTCAGTTGAGGCTAATGTTTTATTTTTTTTTTTTAAAAAAAGAGCAAGAATGCAAGCCCATGTAGCAAAATGTTAGCATCATTTCATGTAGATGCTAAGTGTAGCAACTATATAAATATTTTTGTAGATTTTAAATATTTCTCAATTTACTTTAGAAACTCACCATCATATATTTGAATAGCAAAACAACACCATCCCAACATGCTTAATAAAATACTTGGTAAAATGAATGAGTTGGTATGAGCTCAAAAAATTCAGTGAATTAAAATTTAAAATTTTAAAGTGAAATGACAGTTAATTAAACAACTGTGAGTCACAGCCTATTAGAAGAAACCAGTATTTTAAAAAAATATAATAATGCCACCTGCAGGGAAAAGCTGCAACTTTCCCAAAAAGTGTTCCGAATGAGATTTGTTGGGTTATTAAAACTATCAATGAAGAAGGACAATTCTTTTTCACTAGTTTCAGCGCACCTCTTAGAAATAAAGTCAGCCCCTCATTATCTGCTTCAGCTTAATTTTGGAAAATATTAAGTTACATTAGTAGTACCAGGCAGGACAAATGTCTATCTAAATATACTGTAATATGTAATGAATTGAAACTTTAAGAAAACACAGGGGAGCTCTGGTGGCCTAGTGGCAAGGAGCTGCAACTATAATCCCAGAGACGAACGGTTCAAATCCACCAGATGCTCTGCCGGGGAAGGAGGGACAATCTCCTCCTGTACCAGTCAGCTCTGATTTGACGGTACACACACAAAAAAATAATTTTAAAAAAAACCACAATATTTTTTTAATAATTCCTATATTAATTTATTGTGCCAATTTTGTTACCAAAAATAAACTACCACATTATTCTTAGAAGACAATATAGTAGTAATTCAACACTTGGTTTCTACGACAAGACTGGTTTTACTGCATACTAGGTGTGTGACTTTGGCCAAATTACTTAATATCATAACATACACCAGTTTCTGTACTTTGAAAAGATTTAAACTATAGTTCCTAAGACTTTGTGAAGACTTAAAAACTGATATGTTTAAGACACTTATAAGTATCTGACAAACAGTAAGTACTTGGTAAGTAAGGTGGTTATTATACTTAACAGCAGCATCTTTTAGACTGCATAAGAAGGCACATCAAACAGCAAACATGACTATGCAGATTCGAAATTACACTGCAAGCTTTTCGCTGCAAAAGAGGCACTCTGGAGGAACAGTCTATCGGAAATTGCACTGCTACCGCAAAGCCACACCTTTCTGGAAGTTCTAATCTACCAGTTACTGGGTAGAAGAATGATCAACAATCTCCTCCTCTGATTTCGAGCCTGTGAAAACCCATTAAGGCTTGGCTCCAACTTCACCAATGAGGCATTTGAGGGGTGGTTTTGTTGGTTTTTTTTACCACAGATTACTCATAATCGTTGTGTTTCACAGGATGTAAAAAGCTGGAAATTAGAATGCAAAGCTCAATCACAAGCTATAAAGATCTGGCTGCAGTAGAAAAATCAAGTTGGCTTATCTCATACCCCACAACTTCTCAGTCTTCCACCGAACCCTCAAGTTGTCTCATCATATATTGCTCAAGATAAGGTCTTCCAAAGAAATTTTAAGATGAGCACAACACAATTCTAAAAGGAACCAAACCAATGAAACAAGAAAAATAATTTACCCATCTGTGTGGTGATGGTTTTGTGGTGTGTGATTTTTTTGGGTTTTGGTATTTTCTTTTTGTTTTTCTCCCAGCTTATTAAAAATATGTTTTTCATAGACTTCCAGCTTGCATCATTGCTTTTAAGAAGTCATCTGTCAGTTTAATTACCATCTCTTTGAAAATAACAGCTCCTCCAGAGAGTTTTCGGAGGCAGGTAATCACATGGCAGGAGATAAGCCATACATTGTTGGGTTTTGTTGTTATGTGCTCTCAAGTCTTTGTGACTCATAGCGACCCTATGTAGAGGCCCTGAGACCTGCTCTATCCTGTGCCAACTGTATTGTCTCTGACACACCTATCTTCATTACTCCAGTCACTGAATCAATCCATCTCATCAATGGTCTTCCTCTCTTTCTCTGTCCCTCCACCTTTCCAAGCATGATGTCTCTCTTTAAGGACTGGTCCCTCCTTGCAACATGCCCAAAGTATGTCAGACGAAGCCTCAGAACCCTTTCCTCCAAGGAGCAGCCATGCATAAGAAAACAACAGCAATAACAAAAAATATTGTACATCACT